TGGAGGAAGTAGTACTACACTGTGTAATAGCAGTATTTTAATTCGTCAGTTAATGGCAAAATATACATGGACTTTGTTACTGATTAGGGAAATCTCAGTTTATAGAAATTCGTGTGTCAGATTACGGTGGAATAATGGGACCTGCATTAGGCAATAGAGCTTTTCCTGGTCTTATACATGTGTCCACATCATCGAGGTTGGCTAAGCGCAAGCGCAGTGAAGCTCAACGCCACTATCGTTTGAATCGCCAAGAGAGATCGTCTATTGACAGCAACCGCACTACACGCTTGTTGTCGCCATCGATGAATCGTTCGAACAATCATTCGAACAGCAGCTATTAGATGATGGATTTATACCATTAATAAAACGTGTTTGGTGATCGATTTGATTCGCTTACCATCATGTCTTCGGTGGCATAACTCCTGCTTCACCACGATACCGGTCAGTGCAACACTTCAAAAATAATACTGTATAGATTTCAATTGTTGGCGAAGTAGGTTACTATCACGTAATTGGACAAATATAATTTAAGCAATACAACCAATCAGAACTCACTTTAATGTGATTGGCTCGATTCAAATGTTTGAATCAAATTTGATTGTCATTCCAAGACTGGACAACCGAGGACGACAGCAACATCGGTACTCCAACGGTCAGACGCAACCAGCGAGCGCCAGTTCTGTCGTGCAAAGCACCTCCCGTACTCGACTTGGCAAGGCTGGCGATCGAAGGAAGACAAGATGATGGCAAACAAGAGGCACAGCCGCTGCGCCACGATGGGCGGTCAGGGAGCCAAGGAGATCATTCCATTCAAGGATGACCTCTTGGCATTCATGCGTGGCCAACGCGACGAAGAACGCTACGTCCGCGTGTTCCACCTCATGCAATGGGTCAAACAGTACCAGAAGGCTTGGCTAGTCCAGTACTTGGCGAGCAAAAAAAGCGAGGCGGTGGCGTTCAATTCGTTCCGATCTTTGCTGCTACGCTTTGCCGAGCGACATCGATTTCGCCACCGCACACCATGCATCAGCAAGGTGATCCAACGAGTGCTAGACGAAGTGTGCTTGGGATACGCCGCGTCGTTTTGGAGCAAGTACGACCGAAGCCAACTGTTGAACGTCGATGAAACCACCGTGTACTTTGACATGCCCCCGGGGAAGACATTGGCCGAAATTAGCAAGTCAAGCAAGGTTGCGAACGGCGAGAAGCATTCAGATCGCCTGACCGCTGTCCTGACAATTCGAGCAGACGGTAAGATAGTTTCAAATATATCTTGCTTAATTAAATTGTAGGTGTGAAGTTGCCGTTGTTTTTTATCCTCAAAGGACAGTCTGGTGGCGTGATTGACAAGAAGGAGCTTTCAACGTATCCTGCCGGTTATTTCTATGCTGTCCAAAAGAACGCATGGATGGACGAGCGCGTCTGGTCGATGTACCTTGACGAGGTACTTGCGCCATGTTTGGATGACGCATCGGCCCTGGTTGTGGATAACTTTGAGTGTCATGTGTCTGATTCTACCCACGAGAAGCTGACAGAAACACTATTTAGTGTTGTCGAACCGCTGCCTCCGAACTCGACTAGTCGGTGTCAGCCGCTCGATGTTGGTGTGATGGGTCCTCTGAAGGCGATGCTGAAGACGGCGTGGCTTTTGGAAGAAGACAGTCGTAGTAGTGTTGACGATGTCTTTACTGCCCAAGAAAAGCGACTTGCAATGGTAAAGAGGACTATACTAGTTTGGGAAAAAAATACACCAGAAACAGCAGCGAAGTCCAATATTGTGGATAGTTTCACTATGAGTACGGAATCTCTCTAACGTAAAATGCCAATTTATGACATACAACTTTCATTTGATTTCAAAAAAGGCCATATCTCCGTCCCGCTTCATCATTGTCGAATTCTAAAATAGTCCTAAAGGTAGAGAATTGGTGAACAACCCTTAATTAAGTTCTTATGTCCATTGGACAAGGCTTGAAGTCATTGGAAGCCGTTGAAGACGCGGAACCTCTACTACAATTTTGAGTGCCAATTTAAGTCGTAAATTTTAACCTTCCTTTTTGTATGTAATTGTGAATAGAAATTCAGAAGTTCACTGTATGATTGGTGCATATTCAAATAACGATCTATGATTGGTGCATTTTCGTACGACCTATATTGGCACATACGTCATAAATTGGCACTTTACATCTGTGAAGATGTTAAAGCTCACAATAATAAGATATCGAGGGTTGTTTCGGAAGCTGGGGTAACTGCGATGGTCGGGAACACAGGAGGTTGAGCAGTTGACTCAGGGAACCCGGGAAATGCATAGTGATCTGGGTAGGTTGGGAGACGTGGGGACCCGGGGTAGCCGGGGATCGCGGGGAAGTCGAGGGTGACTCCGAGGATATGCAAGGAGAATGGAGTGACGCGCCGTGGATAAGTCCAGCAACAAACACCACACACACACACGTAGACAGGGGATGTAATGCACACATGATACACTTGGTCGAGGTTCAGCAACGGAGGTCGTCTGCGTTGAAACTTTGCACGGATTTGTGGCCCGAGACCTGTACCGAGGACTTGGCTGGTACTAGTTTGAAGGGCGATGCAGGTTTCGTACACTTGGTCGACAAGCGTGTACGGACTTCAACAGCAGACTTCTTGGGGTGGTCGTTCAACGGCTATACTGCACAGGTTCTAAGCCATACACTGCAAAATGTGAACTGTTATTATGTATGTTATGTGGCCTCTAGGACAAGGCATGCTGGGCGATTGTGGACCAAAGCACGGGTCGCAATTGGTTGAAATCCCTTACATATGCAGCGGCTGCTGAGCAACTCAGACCTCCGTTGCAACATATACGTATGATCCCGCTTATGCATGGGACATTGTAACATAATCCTGATTCGTAAAAAGTGATCCCAGGGCATGATTGTTGCTGAAAGTGTAGACCCATGGCCAACATATCGGAACAACCAACAACGCCTAAGTCCCACCCTTGACACGCAATCGACAACGCTTCCAACATCCGATCCCACTGTTGAAACGTAACCAAGATACCCACGGAACGGAACCTGGGGTGCCCTGGGTCTCCAGGAAATGTTGGTCTGCCCGGGAATGATGCGTTTATTGAAATGTGGCCCACAATATGGTGGTTATATCACGAATCCACCACTATCCCAACTTCCCAATAGTGTGGCGAAGGTGTTGTCGTTACGCGAAGACGAGCTCGCTGCTGCTGAGAAATATGCATTGGTAATGTTCGTGTTGGACCCTGGCACTGTTGCTGTCCCCAGCACGCCGTTGAGCTAAGCGGACGAACGTTTGGCTCCAAAACGTCGCTGAATGGGACCAACAGCAAGCAAGTACTGCTGCTTGAAGTGTGTCCTTCCAACGAGCAACATGGTTGAACGGCTCATCAGCGTCGCGAAGTATAGACCATAGAAAGCACATGTATCCGGTGAATTTCGAGATGATCATATTCCTTCGCGCGAATGCATCGTATTGGATTGTTTACTCCTTTGTGAAGTAATATATTTGAACAATTATCGATATTTTGTATTAGAAAGCAATTACGAAGTACGAAGTATTTATTATCAAGGGCGTCGAATATCGTGAAATCTATTAACAGTAAGCAAAATCTGTGTACTAGTAATTGGTCCAGAGGTCTAATTTTCATATCATTTTAGTGGGTCGCAATAAATATAATATTTCGGAAGGCCACTGGGCAGGACATCGACCCAAGGCGATTACGCCGACTGCTCGAGAAGGTTCAGGATAACTGGCTGAATGAATCAGACAAGGTATGATGCACGCAATTGCTCCACGTTAACTCTTGGAATGACCCACGTGGAAGAGGCTGGCTGAACACGGTCATCATGTGTGACTGGTTGAAATCCACGATTTAAGACCAACGACGATGTACTACAGGGTGACTTTGCTGTACAAATGAAACATCCCACATAAAATTTGACAGTTCCTGCAATCTGGATAAATTTTATGGAGGTAAATTGACGGCAAATGCATGCGAACGCGTTCCGAAATCTGAATGACGCCGACAGTGCCACGGCCGAGGTGGATGCGATACCTCGAGTGGGTCCTGCCGTATCTGGCTGTGCTTTGTGTCATCATTAGCTTCACATCATTGGATGTGTCGATACTAGACAGACCCATCACTCCCATCGGTGAGGCCGCTCAAGGGTCATGGCCCACCATCAAGCGCGGCTTTATCGTGCCAATGTTTGACGGCATGCTTCCCATCGGCATTTCCTTGATTCAGGAGTTGCGTCGCCTTGGCAACCACGATCTCGTCCAAGTGTACCATTGTTTAGGTGAACTGTCCGCGCTGTCGTTGCGTCTGCTGCATCGAGCCGACTCGTACGTGGAAGTTGTCGACGTGTGCGCGGACATGGTGGCCCAGGACAAGCTCACATGGCACGAAGCGAAGCGCTTCCGCAACTTCTTCATCAAGCCTCTGGCCCTTGTGCATACTCGACTGGACGAAGTCATCTTGCTGGACGCCGACGACATCCTGTTTGTCGACCCAGCGACATTATGGGACGTGGATGCATACCATGCCACGGGAACTCTGTTCTTTTACGATCGCGAGATCGTCGAGAACACCTTCCTGCGACTCAAGTACTCGTATGTGGATCCTCTTCTTGGCCACGTCACGGAAGAGAACACGCTGCAGCAACTGTTCCGACTCTTTGAGTTCCACCGGTTCGGTTTGGCAAAGCCGGCCGCGCCGTCCGTCCGCACGCAGTCATCGCTCGCCTTTACAAATCAAAGTGCCCATGAACAAGACTCGAGCATCGTTGTGGTGGACAAGCGGCGCCATGATCGGGCCATGGACGTGCTGTGGTTCCTTATCACAGACTGGCGCTTCCGATTCCCCATGTATTCGTGGGGGGACAAGGAGAATTTCTGGCTCGCGTACGAATTGAGTCAGTCGCCGTACTCATTTTCCCCATACGCTGCCACCGCTGCGGGGTATTTTCCCACTCTGTTGTCTTGAATTGATTAAAGAGTTCGCTGTTTTGGGGTTTAGGAATGTACAACCCCACGACCCTACCACCGTGTGCGGGGAAATTGCCCACTTCTTCCCCTCATCGTCCCCCAACACTACCCTCCTGCATATCAACGGCAACGCCCTCATCAACCCGTACACAAAGACAAACGCATTCAACGGCTACGACAAGTCGTTTCGCCCGTCCAAGCTCGACATGTTACTGCAGATGGTGCCCACACACGTGGCGCCCCCACGAGATCGCAGCCCGACGCCCATTGTCCAGCCCAATGCATCCTGTCCACAGGAATGCCTCTACCAACGCGGGGTCCAGGCCATGACGTCGGCGCAGCAAAGGACACTCGTGCGCCGCATCCACGACACGTTTGCGGTGGCGGCGGACGTCGATGCCGAGACGCCCGCACTGTCCCGGTACTCCGTCGTAGGCGTTGTGGCTGTGGCCTGGACACTTGTGTATATGGTCGTTCGATACCGAGCGGCAACGCGATGAGGCTAGACAGTGTTCTGCAAGTCTACAGTATTTAAGTACACCTAGTCATCACCACCACCTCTTTGGTATCTCGTGTTATGGCGAGCAACAACTTGAATGCTACACATTGGGTAGAGAAATGCATAGGGAGAGAAGTGTGGCTGTGTTGATCCATCGTGAAAAGTGTAAGCCAAAGCATTTGGAAGTGTGTAGTCGATTACTGAATGATCGATATCGACCAATGATCTCAGTATCGCTCGCATATCAGGAACATCCAAAACTACACGACAATATAATCAAATACCATAGTAGTTCACTTGCCAAGCACTACAATAGAGAGGGGGACTGGGCGCTTTTTGCGAGCCCTATTCCCAGCGGTCCTATTTCCAATGAAAAATCCCTACAGTACTGCTTACCAGTAGGGTGCATGCAGATCATCATGGCGAGGCTGCCATTCATTTGTGGAATGAAGTCGTCGATACAGTGGGGTCGCCAGTTTCGAGCGCATTATTAGCTGGATGGTGAAGTCCACGACGAAGAGTTAGACTTAAAGTTGTGCCCCGAGTGGACGCCCGTTGAAACTTGTTTGAAACCGTCGCGCCCAAACACAGACTCGACACGATGGCGGACGACATTGCCGCCCCCGACGGGGCCTTGGCGGACCTGGATCCCGAACTCGCAACCGAATTTTCTCGGGCTGAGGCAGTAGTAACAACCCTCGTCTCCCGCCTACACTGCGACCCTGTGTCGTTGGATCCCGCGCTGTGGCCGCTGCACAATTGGCAGAGTTTGCTGTGGGCCCTCTCGCAGCAAGCTCGTCATGGGTCGTGCGATGACTGTCGTGGCCAAGCTAACTACGAAGTGTTTGCAGCTGCTTCAAGTACGCCATCCGTCCAGCCCTCGTACTCCAGAGCATCACATTGCGCTGTGTTCCTTGGTAGGAATGCACCCTTCCAGACCGTGGTTTGCATCGTGCTGCGTTGGTCGCATGGCCCGGGATAGTTATATGTACGACAACCTTGTTGGCTAAAGCCCTGAAGACAACGGTGTTAGGAAGAAGTGGGAGCTGCTGGGGGCGATGCCATCGATGGACGCAGCCACCAAGTACATTGACATTGTGAACGACGTCTTGCCAGGGTGGGATGCTACCCCGGGCCCTGATGTAGCCCTTCTCGTATGCTGCCACGTCATTTGATAATCTCTTGGCTTACACGAACAAATGCAGGCGGAATGGACAGCCGATGCATCGTCGTTCTGCTGCTCGAATTGCGGAGAAGGGTTTACGCTGCTCAACCGCCGCCATCACGTACGACGACACGTGTCTTGTGTTGTTTAACAGGCATGTCGATCGATGGATGCCAGTGCCGGCGGTGCTCCAAACTCGTGTGCGCACCTTGCTCGTCAACTCGCCTGGGGCTGCGGCTCTTCCCAGGACTGCCGCAAAAAATGCTTCGCGTGTGTAATGGCTGTGTATCCGCCATGAGTCCACAAGTGCGATCGGCTTTGGCCAAGGGACTGCCGTTGCCACCGACCACGTCCGAAGCAGGACAAGCCACGACCGAGACGCGCACGGCCACGGTGATTTCCATCGACGAAGAGGAGCAAGAAAGGGGTAACAGTCCACCCCCCCAACAAATCGCATCGCCCCCCAAGCAAGAAGGTGCCATTGTGTGGATGTAGTAGTATTCGTGATAGTAGCGAACGGGAATGGTTGTAGGGAAAAAGGTCGCCCCCAAGCAAGGCTTGATCAAACGAGGATATGTCGAGCGCATGGTAACGTGTATTGTATATGCTTTCATAGCTATCACTCGAGTATATGAAATGGCATACTTTTGGCGAGTGTGAAAACTAACCCATCTTGGTGGCACGTTACATTAGGTTGGGTCTCGATTTCAAAAGCGCTGGGAGAAATTCTTCTTCGTGTTGCTCGTGCGGAAAGGATCTGTGGGGATATACACCCACGAAGACGACATGGCACCTGTGGAAGTGTACAAATTGGCTGGGTATACGATTCGCGTCAAGAGTGAAAAGCGCCGTCCGCACCAGTTCAAGGTACGTACGTCGTCGTCCATTCTGGTTGCATCTACCCTTTGCCGTGTTGGCGCGTAGGTGGAGCATGCGACCCTCACGCCCATCCGACTTTGCGTGTCGTCCCTTCGCGAGATGAACGAGTGGATCACTGCGTTCTCGCAAGCCATTGATGCCTGCAATGCATCCGACACAATCCGAGGCGATTCCAATCATGTCGTGTAGAAGTGCATTACCGTGTTTCTATTGGTTAGCAACCTTTGGAATGGACCAATCACATCGTAGATTTCATCCTATATCTTTGCAAACCAAGGCTGATCGATGATGGGAAGGGGCGTCGCCTGATGGCACACTCGACGACAACAATGCAAGGAACATCTGGAAAAGCCGCGAAAGCAACATTGCGGAACGGAGGCTTGGCCGGCTCAACATCAGACTGTAGTGCAGCTGTAGTGCAGATATGCCCCATCGACTAATAGACATCGCTCGTCGCTGGTTTGGGGGTAGTCCGACGATGTCGACCTGAGCCGGCATGAAGCGATAACTCCGTGCGTAGCGATGCGTACAGGGTTTACTCGGTATCGTCAGCTTCGCATGTAGGGCATAAAGCAGGCACTGCTTGTCGTCACATTTGAATAGCGTGCACATTCGGGCTAGTGTGTCACCAGAGTTTGCATGCCGATTTGGAAGGACAGTGCCATGAACGCAAGGTTGACATGAACAAAGCAATTCCTTGGTGATTTAAACCAACTCTGGGGTTTCTCCTATCAAAACTGTCCATTGGTGCATTCCTCTAAATTACAACTTCTTAGGATACATATACAAAGCATAGTTTAAATATTGCTCCAAAAACGGGGCTTCATCGGCACCGCTTTTACTCCATATAGCATGGTGGGCAGTTCACCACGCCCGAGAAGAACTCGACGGTCTGATTGCCCGATGTCACGAGGACGCGCCCAGTCGGTGTTCGGCCATACTCGTACGATGTCAGTTCCACAGGCGTCGGGACAGTCGGCACGATCGTGTACCCGTGCGCTTCGAGGTAGAAGTCGTCCTCGTCCGAATGGTAGTGGTGGTGTGACGACTTGCTCGGCGACGAGTTGTTGTACGGCATGTACGGGCGAGGTTGCTGCGAGTAGCTGTACACAGGGGACGTCCGCTGCCGCAGGTGGGAGTCGTCTTGCATCGAGTATGGGTTGTATGCTTGCATGCCGTGGACGGTCTGTGAATACATGCTGATGCGGCGGGCAAAATTTGGAATGAAGCAAATCGCTGGCGAGCTGAACCTCACCGGACAGTATATGGGAATTTGTATACCACTGTGGGCCCAGGCATGTAGCGCGGTGTATTTTTAAAAACGGGAAAAAAATTCCGATATTTTAATGCCGCCATCACCCATGGATACAAATTTCAAGTGTAGTCCCGAACCATACTGGCTTTTCTGGTGGAACCAGTATTGGCGAATCAAAAGCGAGGGTTTTAGAAACAGCCAATCAAACGGCGTCGCTTGACAATATGCTGTGATAACATTCAACCCCTCGTCGACGCGTTGTGATTGGCTGGAGTTTTATTCGACCCGTTCAATGTTGCCTTGGTTTAAGTATGGGAGGGCATTAAATGCAGTCGACTCAGAAAAAGCCAGCCGCCCGCCATATTTTAATGGGTCCCCTGCCTCAGGTTCCATATAATTTTATAAATTGATTCTATCAGCCGACCGAATATTTTCCATGCACAGCAGCGTGCAATTGGTTCTTTTTGGCTCAACGTCAACCAGATGTCACCGGATAAGCGCCGACATCATCACCGCGGCGCGAGGGATGGATGTATACAGACCGTACTGTGGTCCTACGAGAAGACCGTGGAAGGAACAGCGGGGCCATATGCGACGGAAGAGATGGCGGCGGCAGAAGGACGCTGGCACTTATGCGACCGCCGCCAATGCCTTGTCTTTGAGGGGCAAGCGTGAGTCATGCCACGGTCGCGTGACTCACGCACCCCTGCATAAACGCTGAGAAATGGCATGTTCTGATAGGTGCATGGATTGTGGCTGATCATGGAACTAACAACCACACGACCCCATGAACATTAGGACTTGGTCCCGACGGCAGAGGCACGGCGGCGGCCTGACTACTCGAAGAAGAACTCGACGACAACGAAGCGAACGTACTCAATCATGTCGAGACAACGCGTGGTGACGTGCCCGCTCGGATACGAGAGGGTGGTTGGTGTCCATGGAGATGCAGTCGACGAGGTAGGCGATCCGCGGAGTTTGTAAGGCGGGTGAGAAGATAGTGCACCTTGGTGATGGAATGACATGAGGACGTTGCTCACGAACGAGGATGCGATGGATTGCACCACATAAGTTTGGTTACTTACTGTATGTGAAGGATCTCCACCTCTCCCATTCGACGTGGATATGTATGTACACCCTTCCTTCAGTTACACGACGCATCGTTCATGCATGTTGCATGACGTACCTAGCTAGCTAGCTTTCCGACGGAGTCAGTCATCATGCGTTTATTACTCAAAGGCGTAGTTTGGATGGACGGTCAAGTATCGATCCTGGATCTCGTCGTCTTCTTCGACGACTTGGAGGAACCCGTCCTTGACGAGCTTGTCGACCACGGACACAATCATCTTGCGTTCCATGGCGAGTTGGTGTTCAGAGTTGATGTCTTGCTGCGCCAAGTAGAACGTGACGACTTCGCCTTGGAGCACCCCGCATGTGGCCATGTCATCACCTGCTTCTTGGGTCTGCTTGAACGCTTCCATCTCATCCTCTTTATCTCGAATGAATCGCGACAGGGCCTTTTGAATCCACGCAAACCGTTCAAACGTGATCGATCCGCTCGTGCCAATGTCCACTTGGGCTTGCGAGTCCACGGCGTCACTCCCGTCGGTCGCTTCTTCGTCCGTGGCCAGCTGCGGCACCACATCCAGGTCGATGTTTTGCGTGTCCACGTGGATGATGGACTTGTTCAAGAGTCGATATGCCTCCTGGACATGCACAACCTGCACCGTTTCATCTAAGTCGATGCGAGCCAGCGCCTCCGACAGCCGAATCATCGACTCGAGCTGCCGCACCGTTATTCGGTACGCAATGTTGCTTTGGCCGTTGCTGCTCACGTCGTTCTCGCGCAGTTTGCGGTAACACGCGACCATCATGCGCTTCGCATCGGGGGAAATCACCGGGTTCAACGTCCGTGCAAACTTGATGTACTTTTGAAGCGCTTCTTCGGGATACGCTTGCTCCACTTGCGCATGGACTTGGAGCTAATACCCACATTCGTTAGGGTGATGCGTAGGATGGAGAGGGAGTGGAGACATACTGATGCTCAAGGGGACTACTACATCTACTATCACCGACCTCGGGCGGTTTGTGCAGATTTACAATGTGGTGCGCGATTTTCTCGTCGGCGACTTCGTTACATTCGTCCAGAATCTACGATGTGAATGTAGGGTGGTTGGTATAATATAACTTTAGGTTCGTCTGGTATAATAATATAATAGAGAATGTAGGGTGCGTCTGGTATAATAGAACATGGAATATTAATATAAAAATAACATTCCATTTTCTGGCAAAGTGGGATAAACCAAAATATGGAAAATGGAGGTAAAGGGTCGTCCATTTTGGAATATGATAGTATGGCGTTTTTGGGGCCGAATTCAACAAATCTGATCAAAATTGAAAACTTTTGTCTTGCTTGAAGAGTTTTAAATCCCATAAATACTTCCTCGTGGGATTTACTCGTTGAAGAGGCGCAAAATGTCGAAGTGTCAAATACGGGCATTTCGTGCATATATAATGATGAAATATTGTCGATTTGACAGTATAAATTTGGGGAGGGGGTGCAATCGAATCGCGCCGACCAAAGCGATCTGATTGGTTGAATTTCATTGAGAAGGTTTTGATTGGCTAATAATTTTGAGCTCTTCTGAGGTAGCCAATCAAATCGATTTAAATTCCAACGAGAAACCACGCCACAACACGAAATTTCACTCGAAAGCACAATAGTACACGTCGAAATAGCAACGAAAAATCGTGATTTTGGTCATTTTGTTTCTAATAACATTTTCGTTTTTTGGATATCTGTAAGGGTACCGGAAATATTGCAATATTCAGGCCCAAAACGCCATTGTCATCACTATATATATCCACTTACATTCTGTTTTTGACATTTGAACATATATCATCATTATATATATATATGCATTTAATTCCGTATTTGACATTTGGACATATATATCTCATTCTTATATATTCCGTTGCGTACCACAAAGAACAGGTCAAACCGCGACATAATCGGCGCCGAAATGTTTACATTGTACTTGAGTGTCTACACATTCGATGATGGTGAATCATAGCTAGCACATGGGGTAATACAGTAATACTAGTAACTAGTATATCCTAGAATACATGTATTATCCTGCCTTGGTTTTGTCGTATCGTCCATTTTGCGGGTTGGCGGCGGCCAGAATCGACGTCCGGGCGTTCAACGTGGCCTGGATACCTGCTTTCGTAATACTGATGGTCTGCTGCTCCATGGCTTCGTGGATCGCGACTTGGTCGGCGGGGTCCATCTTGTCGAACTCGTCGATGCAGCAAATGCCGTTGTCCGACAGCATCAACGCGCCGGCCTCGACGCAGTACTCGCCCGTGTCGGGGTCGCGGCTCACGCTGGCCGTGAGCCCCGCGGCGGTGCTGACTTTGCCGCTCGTGTAAATCGCCCGAGGAAGGAACTGCACAATGTACTTGAGGAACTGCGACTTGGCCGTGGACGGGTCGCCCTGTCCCCATATCATATCAACCCACACACTTTTGAACAGGACAAACCGTACCACGATGCAAATGTTGATGTCTCCTCGCAGCTTGATGCCTTCGTTTGTGGTCTTGTGCACGCCGCCAAACAGCATGAGCAAAATGCCCTTGCGGATCTCGTCGTGACCGTACACGGACGGACACAGCGACTTGGCCATCTTCATGTACCGGTCTGCATCGGCCTTCATGAGTCGGATCGACTCGAGCTCGTCTTCGGAGAAATCGTTTTCCGTTTCTTCGCCCATTTCAGACCGGATCGATACGCGGTCAAAGCGCTGGGCCATGGTCTAAGAACAGTACGAATGACACCAATAAATATGGCTTCTTCATGCTCGTCGGAATACTATTGTCAAGTCGAAATTGCTCTCAATGAGCAAAATAACCCAATCGGCAATGACAATCGATAAACGACCAATCAAAACCCACAACACGAATCAACTGGCCAATCAAATCATCCACTCACATTGGACCATTTTAACATTGAATTAGTGTGACATTGGTCGACTTTTACACTCAAATGTCAGTACAAAGAATCGGTCGACGGATTTGGCAAATCAGCCCAAAAGTCCAAATTTTGGATAAAAGGATATATAGTAATATGGGAGAATTAGTAACCTGCACAGAGCACGCCAAGAACGCCGTCTTGTACGTGAGCTCCTTGACCCCCGTGGCTTTGAGCCCGCGAACTCCTTCGCCTTCCATGCCGTGCGAGCTGTTTTCCCCTACATTCGATCGTATCGTGAATGCATTTGTGTATCGTGATCTGCATGTACCGCCACGTCGCGCCGCGACAACGTTCTCCCCGCCGTTCTTGCCAAACCTCGACACGTCCGGCACGACGATCAGCGCACCGGTGAACACGACGCGGTCCCCTGCTTTCGCCTGTTCGACGTTCTCGTGTCGTAGAATGACGTCGATTGACCGTGGCATGGACCCGGCGGGAATTTCGTCGCTGTTTTCCTGCACGCGCACCTTTTGCCAATCGACAAACACGCTCTTTTCGGGGTGCAACTGCCACCACCATATACCCATGTCGCCGTGACGACCATGACAAGAGAAAGACGAACACATACCTCCCACTGACTCGTGTTGCCGCAAAACGGATTCGCACACTTTTTAGGCTCCATGTACCGAAACTGTTGCTCGACGCCTTCGACGACGCCCCCGCATTCGATGCACGTGAACGCCCCAAAGAGCAACTCGGGTCGGACCTCGCTCGTCCGAGTCGCGGTGCCGCTAAAACTGTTCATTTTGCCGATCTCCTGCATGCGCAACTGACGAATCTTCCGCACCATCGTGAAGTTGTAAAAGCACACAAACGTTTCCCTGCCTGTAGCGCAAAACTCCGCTGCAGCCTGACGTAGAGGAATTTCCCATCGCAAGTACGCGGCTGCGAGCGCTTGCGCCAAGTCGACGTCGGCGGCAAACAACTTGGTGTAGTCGACGAACAACGACGACGTTTCTGTCTGTCGCATTAGTTCTGCCTGCTGTTCGTACGACACTTCGCTCCTAAGGTGATTCAGAAAGCGCATCTTCACGACTTCAGCGGTCTCATCGACGACCAATGGTATCCGCTGGGTTTGCGGTGCCGGCGCGCCACGGCCCGCCATATTTTCACCTGTGGATTTGAAAATGCCAATGGAGTAAAAAATTGCGTGAGGTATTTTATTCAAATATACTAAATTAGTCTTTGATTTCGTATGAAAGATCATGAAAGTCATTATATTGGATTCTCCTGGATTTATTTATTGCAGACAACATTAAGCTTACAAACTGTATGCAGCCCAAGTTCCCGCGTAAAGTTCTGTATCCGGACAGTTTGGAGATCCCACGACATTTGAACACAGTGAAACTGACCACCTGCTCCTTCAAGTCCGTCGACTTGAAAGCCAAGTAAGCTTACAGACTGTAATCCTCCCGAGAGCTCGTTGCACACTGCTCAAGCCTAATACATCCACATGACGACTCGAATACACACCAGAGGATTCAACGATCAAGACGTACTGCGCCTTAGTGTATTCCATTGTTCACTGACTTGATGTGTTCACAGTCACGACGCAACACTGCACCACTGCTTTCCTCAGATGAGGAACTTTCTACCTCGTACCCGTAGTATGAATTCTACGCTTGACAGTCAGTCGCACATTGCCTTCCCTCCATTTCAATGATATTGTAGGCGCCCTCCTTGCGTTTAGTGTGGATGAGGGAAGACCAAGTTTCAATTGCGAACGTTTCGCCGCCTATGCAGTACTTCCAAGTCGACGGAGTTGAAGGAGTAGGAGGTCAGTTTCACTGAGCTCAAATGTCCGGGGATCTCCAAACTGGCCGGAAGTATGTATC